TACCTTGGTTACTTTATGTAGCCACTGACAGCAGTTTTACAATTTCTATCCACATATTTTTTCCCATGTCTTATACAGTGAAATGTCTACATTGGGCTTTGAGGAAGAAATTTGACATATTTTAGATTGTTCATTGGCACCCTTTAACATGTATTCAGGAATTTTCTCGATGACGTTTCCTCCTTTTGTTTATTTATTGTATTTATGTATTTATTTTGCTGTGCAGCTTTCAGCAGAGCGCCCATCCCCATGGCGGTGGTGAGGAGGGAGCTGTCCTGCGAGAGCTACCCCATCGAGCTGCGCTGCCCAGGYACGGACGTCATCATGATCGAGAGCGCCAACTACGGCCGCACGGACGACAAGATCTGCGACGCGGACCCCGCCCAGATGGAGAACACTCGGTGTTATCTGCCGGACGCGTACAAGATCATGTCTCAAAGGTAACCGCTCGCAGAAATGCATTAAGGGGCTCCGAACGGAAGGACTCGGCAAGGGATTTACCTGAGGTCTTTTAGCAGTAAAAATCTTGAAAGTCTTGTGATTTGTTCACATCTTCTTGATTGTTGTTTTTTGGTATAGCAGAGCCACTTGTGATTGATTAAATCTGGCAGGTATGCATCGAAGAAACAGTGATTCTAGKGATGTGCAGATCGATACTGAAAKATCRATACTACCAATACCAGAACTTCATGCTCTAGAATTGATTCTACAATCAAAATATCTATAATTTGATACTTCAGTTATTTTATTTTCAGTTATTTTACATAATGTATATCATTAACAAGAAAATAGTGGAAAATAATTAAACCTTTCAAATCTTGTCTAAATTGCATGTGGTTGGAGGGAACTACCTTTTCTTCCACTTGGGTGAGCACAGTGGCACATGCTCAGTCAGTCACTCAGTCTGTWGAGGTATGGCAGGTCATTTTACCATAAAATCTACTTCGTATGTCTGTCTGTTATTAAATTCTAGATTAGGGGTTCCCACACTTTTTCATGCCATGACCCCCAAACAGAATTAGTTCTGGCCAAGGACCATAAACAATACTACAAAATATGCAAAGTAACAACTTTTAGAATGTTTTTTTTCCTGCTAAACAAATAATAGGGTTAGGGTTAGAAAGACTTTTAAATCAAGAAATAAATTGCTGTGTAAAGTATCATTTATAAAGCGGTTATTTGAAAAAAAAAAAAACGCTACTTTTTTAAGATTTACCAGACACATTATGTGTGTTATCACAAAGTATCAGTATCGGATCAGTATCGCCAATACCAGCCAAATTTTACTCGGTATCAGTATCGGAAAGAAAATTGGCAGTATCAAACATCACTAAGTGATTCATAAAACAACTTTGAATATAAACTGGGGGTGTCCCGAAATCAGTTATTCTCAAAACGAGAATGAGTACTTCAGTTTGGGTACTCGCCGATGCTGAGTACCAATACAGAGTACTTACTGATTTAGTTACATATCTTTTATTTAGAACCTGGTGCTAAATTGGATACACATCTTTGGGCGGTGTGCATTCCTATAAGAACTGCTGTTTTCCTTCCTTTAACAGATATCRTACTTGATGAGTTGACTTGCCACGTCTTAATCTAGTTTTCAGAATTATGACCCTTCGGTGCATTAAAAACCAGGACATGCAGACCCATTTTTCTGATCGGGCAGAGTGTACTCTTACTGCGCTTTGGCTTCTGCTGTGTAATTAATGGCYGACATTAAAGTAATATATATGCAGGTTTTTAAAATTTAACTAAGTCTGGGTTTTCAGAGAATGTAGAGCTCCGACTGGAGCGCGGACTAAATAAACATTTGGACCATCCTAGCTGTTCTGTTGACGTATTGCGGCATTAAGAGCAGCAGGGGAATCATTCTAACTATGGTTACTCATTCCTTTGAGGTCAAAACACCCTTGAGCAATGCGAAGAGATGGGCTTTATCTAAATTGCTTCTTTTTAAATTGACTTTTTCTAGCTTATTTTGTTTCCAAAGCCAAGCGCATGTCCACTTCTTTTCTTGTCCAAAGCTTTGGTTCCACTTCGGCCACGCTCCTTTTGAGAAATACTAATGGACRTTTCAGCTCCGGTCGAACAATCGCTCTTTGGATTTTCCGTCCGTTGCCGTAGAGTTTAGATAATCAGCCGGGTGAAAAAGGATGCTGACGGTACAAAGAGGTAGTTTGAAACACGTCTCATAATTGATGCACCCCGTCGCCACCCCTCCCCTTCTTCTTTCTCCCACTCAGACTGAAAATCCCCACAGGAATGAATCAACCTGTCTAAAGGGAACATAAAATACTGAGAAGGAGTAGCATTTGATTGTTAGCAGGGGTGTTTAAGTGATGCTCAAAAGATGAGCACGGCCCGATTCAGAGCCAGGGCACTTTTTCTTGGCAGAGGAAGCGACTGAGTGGATGGCGGTTGTGGGTGTTATGAACTGAGGATGTCAAAAAAAAAAAAAAACAAAGAATGAGAGCTCAGGTGAGAGGAATCGATGATATTTGTGGCTGTAGTGACACAGCTACGCATTAGCATGTGAAGGTTAGCACAACAAATGAGCGCCACCCCCGACCTTTTCATTGTTGAGCTGTCAGAGCCGTTGCTAAGCATCTGCGTCTGAGCTCATTAGAGTTAAAAAGAAAATGAGAACAGAAACAAGTAATTTAGCTGAGAAACTTGTCTTTTGAGACGAGCGTAATTTTAGCAGGGATGGTGTGAAAAGGGCTTCTGGGAAAGAATGAACTGCAAAACAATGTTGATGAGTGTCTTTGTTCTTGTACAGTGTTTTTTTTTTTTTGTCTTTTTTTCCCCCCCACCTTGTCTTGATCAGACTTGCAGTCATAAGAACGGTTTGCCTGTAAACTCTTAAAATTATCATGAGATAATGACTTCTTCCTTTCTGGCTTATCTGCTTAATTATCTAGAACGAGCCTCCATCAGCTGTGATGCAACCACACCGCTCATTAACATTTTCCTTGGTTATTTTTCTTTTTTTCCACCTCCTTTCCCATCTCTGTTTATCATTCYGTATGTTTACACACTACGTAATGGAGTGATTAGAGCTTTTACATGACTCTAAGTATCCTAATTTTCACTATAATTGTTGTTTCTATGGGTTCTGTGATTGCTTGGCTAATGTCTGGAAGGATGCAAAGAACACTAGAAGAAAAAAAAGACTTCATTTCCGGATTAATGAATTTTGCATTAGAAAACCAACAGTTGCGGTCAAGGGTTTACATACACTCATACTGTGTGTTGATGTCTTTGTAATTTTGGGATTTAAATTTTTTATTGAAACTGTTTTTGTTCTTTTATGTAGTGAATATACGGCAGAGTCAAGACAGTAATTGGGTGCAAGCATTTTAGTTCACTGCAGCTTTTTTTCAGTTCACACAGGATCAAAATTCATTATTGTTTTGGTACATGTCTTTTTGCAAGTTGCACTTTGACCAAACGATACATAATTCTGTCTGATTATTTGATAGTTCGTTCTCCACTGGTCAAATCTACCAATATGACCATTGGTAGAGTTCATTTGCATATTAGAGATAATTCTCACTCATTACTATAATGATTCTGTTTCTTATTATTTTCCTTTCAAGCGTCTTCTGTACATTTTTTGGCACCTAAATCGTCCTGCAGTTTTTAAGCAATTTCAGCAATATAGGTATGAAAATGTTCAGCTTTCTCATGGGAATGATACTATGACTTTTGGTGTCGATATCCTTTAAGATTTAAATTTTTTACCCTTCATTTGTTAAACATTTTTGGATTAAAAAAATAATTTAGGTGTGATTCCTATATTTCCTAGCCTGGCCCTTGCCTTCCTACACAGTTCCATTCAATTCTAGTTTCTCCACTGCTCCGTTTGGGATTTCTCCCATAGACAAGGATTTCTTTGGGAGAAATTTCAATCGGGCCAATCAGAAAACAGAAAGTCGATTTTCTATGCAGTGTCTGCTAGTTAATTTAGCAATGGCAGTGGAGGAAGTGACTGAAGCCAGTCCGTGTTGATAAGGCTTCCAAATTAAAATAAATTAGTCTGACAAAGCGGCAGCTCTCATTTACAGTCGTCTCGTTTGGCTCGGTACTTTTCTCCTCTCAGTAGGGTTGTTTACAGCACACGCGATTTCCAGTTAGCTTCTTAGCTTAGCCTCCTTCACAGTGACATACATCGCGGCCAACCGATCCAATCATTTTAAACTTCAGCAGAGGCCACGCCTCCAGCAAGAATGACTGCAGCGAGTCCAAACCCTCGTACGAAGCAAAGTGAAGGACAAGGGTCTGGTTTTTACCAGGCTAGATATTTCCTAGCTTGTTCTGTTGTTTTCATCGTTGGTTCTATGTGTTTGAGTAATTTTAAAACACCTAAAATTACAATAGTATTTATGTCCATGCTGATAAAACAAAAGGGCCACTCTGTACAAATATACCCATATTTTTAAAACTTATATAATATATAAGCATTTTGCTTAATTATAACTTTTGATTTTTATGCAGAACGTTGTACTACATTTGAAAAAAAAAAAGACCATTCTTTTCACTATACACACCAATGCAACAGAGCAGATTATTAGCATCCCAAAGCTGCTCTCCCCATCTGCAGGAGTGATGGACACTGTTGAAATTTCAAGCAGGGAGAGTGATGCGATCTGTAAGGTAATATAAATGCTTTATATGGGAATGGTAATCAGTGGAGCTGTAGCAGTGCTTCTCAGAAACGGCATGAATCAACACTTTCACAGTAGGTTGGTGATAAGGGCGTCCACAGAGTGTATGCTGTCTCACTTAAAGCCAGTTCCAGATGTTTTTTTCCCCTATAAGCTGTTCTATTTCTCTGGTACACATTGAGCTGTAATAAGTAAACGGTTTACTCATTCTCTTAGGAAATGTGACTAGACCAGAGACAGTTGTTAAACCAAACACAAGTCCTATTCATATGTTTGATATATTGGTATGAAAAGTATGTTTTAGTTAAACTGCCGCAGGGCAGGAATCAGAGCAGCAATGGGTGTCTCATGAACAATTCTTTAAAATTTTAAATATTTGATATATATATTTTAAAAGATATTTAAGATAAGATATTAAAGATTTTGGTCCATGTACTTGTTCATCACTGGATTTTCATTTTAAAACAGACACTGAAAAACAAAACAAAAAAACAATTTTTTTTATTTTATACCTCAAAAATGGGAAAATGGTCCTTTGTTTAATTATTTTTCCTGGAACTGCCCTAATATTTAATTATGTGATGTTTCTTGGTTATGGGTTTTGTCTKGTCCCGTACTTTGGATTTGTTGTATGTTTTGTACCATCTTGGCCAGGTGACTCTAGRAAAAGAGGCGTTTAATCTAAATGAGTTGTTTTCTTGGTTAAATAAAGACTACATCAAAATTAGAGATATTTTGAACGTASTATGTCTTCCCCATATTCGCAT